AGCTTTGGCGAGAGCATGGCTAGAGGGGCCCCACGGTCCTCCTGGGCCACTGGACTCAGTCCGTTTCCACCAGCTGGGTGACTTCAACTAGGGGGGTTTCTGCAAAGTTGGGTTCTCAGGGCAACACCTTTCTAGACCAGGCCCCAGGGGAGCTCAGCGTCCCCGTGCTGCTCTCTGTGGAAACAAGTTGTGGGAAGCCTGAGTAGACCCAGGGCGAGGTTGGGAATGTTGGGAAGGGGCTCAGGGGAGTATGACCTCTTTTCCCTTGCATATATTGAGTGAGAGGTGGCCAAGGAGACCACAGTGGGGAGCATGTTGATTCCATATGTCAGTAGCTATTCACCGTGTGCTGGAGACCCCGGGATGTTCTGTAGAACTTGAGATGCTCAAGACACCCTGGGTTTCTCTGCAGACCCCAGGATGACCTAGTCAGAGAGAAACCAGATGGCAAGACCAGGGAGTGATGTGGCCATGACTGGCAAGGCCACGGGGAGCAGAGGTGGCCTCTGGCTTAGTCAGGGGGCTCCTCCAAGGAGGAAATTTCCACTGAAGTCCAGAGGGTGAGGCTGTGCTATCCAGGTGAGGGTAGGAGACTTTCCAGAAGCCCAGGGGGGCAGTGGGCCTGGCGTGGCATGTCCCTCTGGGCCATGCACCCCATCCTTGGCCCAAGGTGCTCAGCCTTGTTACTTGGCCTCCCCAATGCCTCTTGGCAGTGATGCCAGACCTGGGGGCACTGTGCCAAAGCCCACAGCCTCTTCAAAAGGGCCTAGGTGTGCATCCCAGCTCTTCTGTTTCCCTGTCTACAAAATGAGGATGATGATGGGTCTGCTGGCACTGAGCTGTCCCAGGTCCTGACTGCTCGCCTCACCTGGCTTGGCCCTGGGCATTCTCAGGAGCAGTTTCCACTGACTCTTGGCTCCTGGCACCTGAACAGGAGGCCGGCCCCCCTGGGGGTAAGACAGAACCCCTCCATCCAGGCTCTTCTCCATAAGAGTAGGCCCCTGGCCCATGGGTCGCTGGCCCCCTCCCTCCCAGGTCCTCCTGGGCTGACCTTAGAAACCCAACCCAAATCTCTACATGATGAAGACTGCTGAGGTCAGCACTGGCACCCAGCCATGCCCAGGCCCGCCCCACTGCTCAACATTCTGTACTTCCCAAGGCCCTGGTGCTCCGCAGAACGGCAATACACTTTCTCAGGACAAATGACCCTCACTTTGAAGCAGTTTGTAGGCCTGTGGAACAGTGACAGGTGTTTGCACTTGTCCCAGGAACATTTGTCATGAAAAGGAGAGAGTCTTTCCCCCGGGGGCACTTACAGTCCCCTCCCGGACTCCCGTGCAACCTGGAACTGCCCGGCCCCATCATCTTGGCCCAGATACATCGCCGTTTTCTTTCCAGCACCACCAGAAAGCAGTGTCCACACTCAAGAGCCTCCTGACCCCAAGGTGGCCGCAGCAGCACCCAAAGCCCATTCAGGAGGGACAGAGGCCGGTGCTCTGACCTAGTCTATAAGGCCCTTGGAAAGCTTGGCCCTTTACACGCTGCCCGAGTGAGGCCTGGCCAGGCTCTGTCCCCTCCCCAAGCCTCTAGGGTAGAAGACCACAGCCCTGCTTCAAGGGCCATGGAAGGATTAAACTGAATGGACCGTGTGAGTATTAGGTGGGACTGATGGGACAAAGGCGTCTGTGGCAGAAGTGGGCATGGAGCTGGGTGACGGGAGTGGGGGCAGACAGCAGGGCCACTGCCTGGGGTGCCCTCCTCTGAGGGGTTTGAAGGCATCCCCCCCATGAAATATTGAGGTGGGAGGGGTCCCCAAGGAGACCCCTACATTGCCTGCCAGGGGACAGGGGCATGAGGGTGTCCCTCTGTCTGCAGGAGGTGTAAGCCTGGCGGGAGGAGGGTAGGAGGAGGCCAAGCTTCCATCGCCTTAGCGCTCTTTCTGCATCCACACCCACCCAGGCCCAGCTGTCCCTCTGAATGTACACGCTTTTAATACAGATCACACAGTCTTGGTTTGACTGTTAGTCTGTCTGGGACCTCTCTGTGTCATGGAGCCCCCTGAAGGCCCTCTGACACCCACCCCCAACCTTGGGCCTCGGGCCGTGGCCTTTTTTACAGTGAGTCATGTGATGAGAAACAAATTCTTGTTTTTTTCACTGAAATGGTGCCTGGTACACTATAGGGGTCCAATAAATGTGGATGGACAGGACACCAAGTGGCTGAGATGTTTAAGCGTCTGCCTTCAGCTCAGGTCATGATCTCTGTGTCCTAGGATCGAGCTCCACATCAGGCTCCTGGCTCAGCAGGGAGTCTGCTTCTCCCTCTCCCCCTACTCTTCATGCTCTCTCTCAAATGAATAAATAAAATCTTTTAAAAAGTGTGGACTCAGGCCAGATGGACAGATGGATGATGGATTTGTGGATGTAAGAAATACACATAAAAAGAGAAAACAGTCTCTAGGGGAAGTGATGGCACCCACCTCTTTCAGGTCTGATTTAATAACATATCAATAATGATAATGACCATCATTTATGGAGCCCTGGCTTTTTGCCAGGTGTTTCTATCACTCCGTTATCCTTTAACAAGTCCTACTGGGGTTGAGGCAGTGCTTTGAAGGATAAGAAAAATGAAGCACAGAGAGCAAAGCAAATTGCCCGAGGTCACACCTGGGCACAGCGCCAGGGGGGAGAACCAAAGTCTGGGTAAACCAGTGTCAGTGGGCTCTACGCAGGAGAGGACACACTAGCAGACCTGCCCCAGCGAGAGCGCCCCTGGCTCAGGGACCTACCGAGAGAGCAGAGGGTTGGTGGCACAGCTACCGGGCCTAGGTCAAGCCCCCTCCCCATACTGCTGGTTTGCTGGGTGACTCTGGGCAGGACCTCCCTGAGCCTTAGGTTCTGTCCTCGTGAAAGAATGTGCCAGAATCACAAGACCGAGGTCCTTCCAGGTTGGGAACTGCTGGGACTCGCCCGTCGCTGCTCTTACAGTGGCTGCTTGGAGAGGCAAGGCCAGCTCCATGGGGAGGCCCGGGACAGCCACATAACAGGCTGAGACCTGGGACCAGCCAGGAACCAAGCCACCTATGTCCATCCTCTGACTCACGGGAACTTGGGAGTAAATGCCCATCCACACCCTGGTTTTTCCCATGGCCATTAGCATGATGGGGGCCTCCTTGCCATCCTGACAAGGTTCTTAGGAGCCTTTGGAGACACCTGGGATGGGCGAGGGTGCAGGTGCTGATGCTTCTTCGAGGGTGGAAGCAGGACTTGGGGGCTCGGGGGCTCAGCAGAGAGCTCCCTGAGGGGGGTGCCTGCCAGCGGGCACCCTCCCACCGTCTCTCCTTCCTCCGTCCTCTCTCCCTTCATTCAACAGGTGTTTGTGGAGTGCCCACCCTGACCAGGCTGTGTGTGAGGCTAAGAATCCTACTAATAAAGGCAGGATAATGTCAAACCCGTTTACTGATCTCTACTCAGAGCAGTGCAGGGCACGGGTTACCCAGTGTAATCCTCACACCCACCCTAAAAGGCAGGAACTCTGTCCAGATGGGTGATGAACACGGAGGTAGATCAGGCATCTTGCACCAGCAGGTGAAGCCAGGCTCCCCACCAGGTGGTCCAGCTCCCCGGGGCCTGCACCCCTGCCAGCCTGCTGCTGCCGTGGCCAAGACCCAGATGTGGAGCTCCCAGCCAACAGTGGCTCCTTCACTCGGCTTCGTGGTCCTGATGCCCACATAAGGGAAGGGTCTTGCTCAAGGTCGCACTGAAGAGGGGAAGCTGGGTCAGAGGGAGATATCTGATGTTTTCTAGTGCTCCTTCCATCACAGGGCACTTGTGTCCTGGGAAAAAGGCCCAAGGGGCAAGGATTAGAGCCGGCGGGGTGCATGGGGCAGGGACTGACTGGGACTTACTGGCCTGTGGCTGATTCTGACGGACTGCGCCTATTCCCGCAGCCCCTGTCTGAGGTAGGTGGACGGTGGTGAGGGCCAGGTTAGAACATCTGCTTCTGCTTCCATAATCCAGTCAAGTCCCCATTTCCTGCAGTCAGCCCTCCTCTTGTCAGCATCTCTCAAAAGCCTTGGCCCAAGCCAAACGTCCTCCCGCCACCTCGCGCCGGGCCAGGTTCCGAGACTCTGCCTCCTGAATGCTCCCCCAGTCCAGGCTGCACCCCAAAGTCCCCTTTTGTGACTACCAGGCAGGTTCAGCCTGCTCCCCCAGATTTCCTAAATCACAACCCTAGTCTTTCCCTCTCCTGTACCAGGACCCCACCCTGTGCTAGGTGCCTAACGTCAGAGAGGTCAGTCGATGACAGTGGGGGGTGGGCTGGGGCCCCAGGACTACCTTGGAGTGGGGCGCACCCCCTCCTCGGGCGCCAGCCAGTGCAGGGCGCCGGGAGTCGGCGGCGTGCTGTTCTAGGCCTGAAGTCAGGGGCCCGGAACCAGAATCCCAGCCCTCGCGCCCCGCCCAGCCTCAGTTTCCCCGTCTGTAAACTAGAAGGGGGGAGTTTGGCCCAGGTCTTCGGGCCCCCTGCAGCTCCACAGCAAGAGGAGCTGCTCTAAGCGTCTGTCCCTGGGCCTCCCTTCGCGCCACTCCCGGGCTCCCGAGAGCCGTCACCGCCGCCGCCAGCTAGCCAGCCAGGAAGCCAGCAAGGCCAAGAAGACAGCCCCGGAGAGACCTTCCAGCGACTGCGGGAGGCCGCAGCAGCGTTGCCTGCCTGCGCGTGCGCGCAGCGCACTGCCTGCCGGGACTTGTAGTTAGTCCATGCGGCGGCTCGGCCGCGAAGGCGGAGCGGAGGGGGCGCTGTGCCTACACTTCCCAGGGTGCGTCCCGCCCGCATCGCGGCGAGGGCGGGTTGAGCGGAGCTGCTCGCAGGGGCGGGGCCGGAGGGGGCGGGGGCGGGGGCGGGGGCGGGGCCGGCGGGGCGGGGCCGGCGCGCCGGGGGGCTGCGGCGGCGCTGCGGGCCCGCGCGGACCTTACCGTAGGCCCGCGGACTCGCGGGCGGGCGGGCGGGCGATCGCGCGGGCGCGGCACCTGCGGGCAGGAGCGTCTGGCTGCCGCAGCGCCGGACCGCCCGCCTCCCAACTGCCGCTGAGATGAGTGCAGGTGAGTGTGGGGACCGAGGGACTGGCGCGTCCCCGAGCTGGATCTGGGCGCAGCAAGGGCTGTGAAGGCATTCTGGGGCTGCACCTGCAGCACAGGCGAAATCACCCAGTGCTCCACCCAACTTTCAACGCAGGGTCTTGCAAACCCTAGGGCCTGTCCGCAGGTCCCTGCCCCTGCGCCCTGGGCGCGTGCGGCTCTGCAGGGCGGTCTAGGGACCCGCTTCCCCCGCGCCTGCCAGGCTGGCTGCGCCGGGCTGTCTGGTAGGCGCCACTTTTTTGCTTCTCCAGGGTCCCGGGTGTCTGTAGGTTGCAGAAAGCGACCGGTAGGGGCGAGGGGCTCAGGGCCACCGCAGGCCCTGCTATAGAGAGGTGTGGTCACACGGGGGTCTTTGCGGCTGGGGCCGACGCCCTTGCGCGGCGTTCGCTCAGCCTGAGCCGGGGGTTTGGGGGAGTCCGGCGGATCCCCGGCGCCCTGGGCTCGCCCGCTGCAGATTTGGGGGCGCAGAGCCCGCAGGTGTGTGCGGCCCGCCCCATTTTCCTCCAGTCAGCATCTTACCGCCCCCCCCCCTCCCCGCGCATCCCAGCGGCTGCCTCCCGCCGCACCCACCGGATCTGACCGCCTCTGCGCTGGCCCTGGAAAATCCCACATCGTCACCAGCCAGCCGCGCCTATTGCGCTTGGGGAAACTGAGACCAACAGCAGGGAGGCCTTGGCAGGAAGAGTCTAATACGCGGACGGAGGAACCCGGTTTTGAGAGTCTCCTGTGGCCCCACACTGAGCTGAGGGTTGGTCTGTACATTTCCAGGCAGGGAGGGACCGTCATCCCATTTTTCAGGGCGCGACTTAGGCTCACCAAGCTTGAGTCACCTGCCCAGGTCACGCAGGGGGGTGGGGATTCGAACCTGGTACTCCCTGACTCCTGTGATTTTTTCCTCCGTGTCTGGCCACAGACTGCAGTATGGCCCTTGGCCATAGTGCAGAAAAATGCCTGGACAAGCTGGAGGAAAAATCGGACTGGGGGGGCGGGGCGGTGGGTAGTTAGTGTTCATTTTGTGAGTGCTTGCTCCCTGCTCGTGGTTTGGGAGGGCTGTTTCCAGTTTCCAGGGACCCATCTCCCAGGGGACATCATCCCCTCCCCCTCCAACCCAGGAAGGAGGGACCACACTGGCAGTGGGTGTTGGGAGAGTGGCTGAGAGCAAATGGCAGGCAGCAAGAAGCAGAAATCTCTAGAGGATTTCTGAAATGGCCAACCTGTTATCTGGAGGCCAGGGAGCGGGACACCCCGAGACCTGGCAGAAACTCCAGACACGTTCATCTAATGTCAGGTGGGGATAATGGCAGGGTGCACACAGGGTAATTCTAGGTTTTCTGTGATCATAATTGTTACCTCCAGTCCCCCTTGTAATCAGGGGGAGCCCTGGAAGGAGCACTGGCATTTGTGGTTGTCCTGGGAGAAGGGCTGTGTGGGCACTGGTGTCTGTTGGTGTGGGGTCATGATTCAAATGAGCAAGGGGTCTGGGGTTTGACCCATACATCTGTCTGGTGGCAAATTGTCTTGACAAATGGTGGCATCTTCCCGAGTTCGGCTTCCTGACGTGCAAAAGCAGCACTATGCCTTTTGCCTGGAGAGGATGAGATTCGAGTGGGAAACTGCCTACATAGTAGGTCCTCAGTAGCTTGTGATGGTCACTGCCGGGGGGTCCTGCTCCCCTCAGTCTACCTGCGTCAGTCAGCCCTTCAGAACTGCCAGTGAGCCTGCTCCCTGTCCGCCTGTGGCTTGTGCCCCAGATGTGTCCCTAGGCCCCCCCACAGCGGGGAAGAGTGTGGCCCTGTGCCTGGCACCTGCCTTTCACATTTTGCCATTGTGTATGTCCAACAGGTCAGGGGACTCTATCATCAATGAGGGCAGGTCTCCTGATGCTCTCCTGCCAAGAAGACGCCCATCATCCCAGAGCTTGGTGTCAGCTGGTGTGGGGGGACATCAGCTGGTCCAGTGTCCGGCTGCCCAGATGGGCCCTTGGGTCCAAGCTTGAGACATTCTGCACAACCTCCCCAGGTCGGAGGCTCCCCTCTCCCTCATACCACCAATCTGCAGGCTTATCTTCTTTCAGTCTGGTGACCCATGGCACCTTGGGGATGGCTTTGGTGTGGTCTCTGGGCCCCATGTATTTGCCTGTTTTGTGACTCATTGATTTTGAGGTAGCTGGGGAAGTTGTCAGAGGTGGCATTCTGTGTCAGGCCTAGATCCAAACCCAGTGCACTTGCTATGGGTGCCCTGTGTCTCATTTTCCCCAGTGTGTGGAGGGAATGCCCTTAACTTTGCCAGCAGCCCCGGCCCAAGCATATGGGGCACAGTAGATGAGCCACAGTATATGGTGGTGGGCTCATAACATGAGAGTCCTGGGAGTCACGATGGGCGAGGTGTGACAGACAAGGGGACCTGAGCTAGAAGGGACTCCAAGGCCGGCTCTGCCCCCGCGGGGTGCAGGTCCTGGAAGTCCAAGTTCAAGGTGCAGGCAGGGTTGGTTCCTGCTGCGGCTTTCCTCCTTGACTTGTAGATGGCCGTCTTCTCTCTGTGTCCACAGGGCTTTCCTTATGTATGTGTGTCCAAATTTCCTTTGCTTGTAAGGACACCATTCATATTAGACTAGGACCACCTGCCTGACCTTGTTTTACCTTGATTACTCCGTAAAGTCCCCCCTCCAAATACAGTCACATTCTGAGGTCCTAGCAGTTAGAACTTCAGCATTTGGATTTGGAGGGGGGAATAATAACTCATAACAGGGGGCAGGGCCGGGTGGAGAGCCTTGGGGAGGGGCATGGAGCTGGCTCAGCTGTCTTGTGGTCATGGCTGCCTGGTTAGGATCCCAGAGCTGGAAGGGACCTAGAAGGATGCTGCCGTCCAAACCCACTCATGTGCCCAAAGGAGAAGCCAAGGCCCATAGAAGGAAAAGCAACTGTCCGGGGTCAAGGAGAGAGTGTGGCAGATCTAGGACCTGAGCCCCAGTCGCCTACTCTGGTTGGCACAGCCCTGGGTCTCTAGAACAGGACACATCTCTTTACCTAACCCGAGTGTGGACAAGGACGTCGCCACAAAGATGCTCCGGACAGTATGACAGAAAGTTGGAGGCTACCCCAATGTGGAGGGGAGTGACAGAAGTCAGCCAGCCATGATGTCCCTCATTCAGTGACCAAGGGCTTTCCACCCGCCCTCTGTGGGCCCAGCAGGAATAGACAGAGTCCATGTCCTTCCTAAGTTTCTCGTAGGTCGGGAGAGCAGGGGGCTCATTCTAGCCAACGGCATGTGAGGAGATCTTAATGTGAGGCACCAAGCTCTAGCAAACCAATTTTAACCCCAAAAACAATGGACCACAATTGTCCATCCTGGGTGATCTTGAGGCTTCGAGCACCGTGGAGGAAAATCGGAAGGACCCACATCCAGATGTCAGCAGGGGTCTCCCTCTTGAGCGGAAAAAAGAGAAAGAGTTTTCCCATATCTGCATCTTTATACTTTCTGTGGCTTTCCCAAATTTTCTTCGTGGTCCATACTTCTCTTTTGCAGTTAAAAATCCAGTGAAAATGAGGAGGAAGCATTACCTCCAGGTCCAAGGAGGGCACGTGGGAAGTCCATGACTCGGCGGGAGGCCCAGACCATTGTGTTCTGCAGGGGCCACTGTCCTTTGGCTGGGAGCGGAGCGGACAGCACTCAGGATCTTCCCACAGGCAGGGGACTGGTGCCCGGTTCCCCTGCGTGATTCTATCTGAATTAGATGCGACAGAAGACAAATCATCCTGATCCAAAAAATCATCTGAAAAGGACAGTTGTTGCCCAAGACCCAGCTGGCACTCCCAGGCTCAGCACGGGCATCCCCAAGCTCGGATTTCTTTCCCCAGAGGTTCAGGGTTACTCCCTAGCCTGCCACCAAAGACCCTTTAATTCTTTACCATTTCTGTCAATGGGGTAATGTGGGGATAGAGGGCATATTTTCTAGAATCAAGCTCTGACTTCGATGAACTCTTGGTGAGTCCAGGCTTACTGTCCCAGAAAAGGGAACATGACCTTCACTCATGGAGAAGTCACCTGTCTGGCTCCCTGACCCCCCAGAGTGTCCTCTGGAGCATGGGGGAGCTGCGAGCTGGCCAGAGAAGATAGGCACATCCGGGTAACGAAAGGAGAGGGTGGGAAGGGGTCCAGCTGGTGGGGTCTGTCCTGGCACTGGCCACGGTGGATGATGGCGGCAGCTGCCAGGGTGCTGACCCTTTCTCTGCCCTGCCCTGCCCTGGTGCAAGGGGCTTCCTCGCACCCCCTGCTCTGCACCTGCCTCGGCAGGACATGGGAAGGCCTCCCCTGAATTGGGTCTGAGGAGCTCATTCTGCTCTGCCCCCTGCTAGCATTCTTGATCATGGAACCTCCCTGTGCTTCTGCAGCTGCCTCCCCCGGGGTCTCCGTAGGGACCGAGGGTGCAGGTTCCAACAGGTGTGAGAGGCTTGCAAAGGCAGTTAGAGTGCTTGCAACAGGAGACCATGGGCGGTGTTCAGATAGCAGCCTGTTTTTGGGTGACGATCACGTTGCGAGCTGCTGAGGGGACCAGCCGAGTGCGGGCCAGCCCGGATGGGAAGCAAACAGCGGGCCTCGAGGCTGCGAGGGCGCAGGGCACGGCAACCTGAGCAGAGCGTCTTTGTTTACTTGGGGATGTTTCCATCCCCGAGGTCTCTAGGGTGTCGGGCAGTACCCTACTTCAGTGTCACGGCAGCCATGGCTCAGGGGATGCTCCCTCGGGCATCCTAAACCCTCATAGCACCTCAAAGGGCTGCTGGGGTGTCCCCACTCGCGGGTAGGGATACAGATGCCCAAGAAGGGGCTGTCAGTGGCCTGGCAGTATGCCACAGCACCTCGGAACAGCAGAACCCCGCTGCGCCTGGATGCTCATCTTCCCACCGCGTGGTCTCCAACCGTCTGCCCCCGCCCCGCTCCTGTGCCCACGTGAGCCTGCTTCTGTG